TCCAAAACGCCCAGGTGGCGGCGGCGGAGGATTCATTGCTCAGGCCGAGGTTCTGAAATGTTTGGTTAAAACAACCATGAGAATACATCTCAGCAAGCACACACCCTAAACCCCACCTAGGCTATCACGTACCTCCAGACATTCACGACAAACAATCACACTCAGCTATTACACCGCAGGCACTCAATCAATACTTACTTGGGCCTTTCCAGCGTGCAACCTGCACGTTAGCCATAATAACACCATTCCACTCACATGCATGTTCTAATTACATTTCATGCATTTGATCCGATCTCATCAGATCTTTTCCATACCACTCGCCAGTGACCCGCGTAATGGTACCGCCTCAGGTTCACTGCGACCAACTCATCACAACACTCCAGGGCCCGCGTAATGGTACCGCCTCAGGCCGTGTATCTTGCCCACGTAGTGGTACCGCCTCAGGCTCAACACCTACCACCTACGACACAACCCGCGTAATGGTACCGCCTCAGGCCGTGTATCTTGCCCACGTAGTGGTACCACCTCAAGCTCAACACCTACCACCTACGACACAACCCGCGTAATGGTACCGCCTCAGGTTGACCGTCCTCCGATAATACCGGGCATCGTCCCGCGTAGTAGTACCGCCTCAGGACGGAAATATCCCCGCGTAGTGGTACCACCTCAGGGATTCCCACGATCACACATGCCACACCACACACAATCTCTTGCTCATTCACATGCTCAACACTCACTTGCTAATAAATTGGCCAATCACACGTGGCCCGTGCACGTATCAATTCACACGCATTTTCATGCTCAATGAACATCCAATATGGCCAATTGATAATTAATTCAATTCAGCCCGAGCATGCATATAATCAAGCATATTTCAATCAATCAATTGCACACTAATGCACCCAATTTCATCACTACAATTCAGCCACAGTTCAAACGCACAACCAACATACAAATTGGCATTTTTCCACGTCACAATGACGGCAAATCAGTTTCGGCTCTTCACGACATTTTCCCACAATTAGTCGCCGGATCTAAATACCTAATTTACGTACCGAACCACATTTTCCAGCATTCAAACCAGCAACTTCCAGCATATATTCGGCCTCTAAATTTCCACAAAAACCTCCCCAAATTCATTCCTTAGGCCCGCTAATCAATTCCGCTCATAAAATCAAACAAATCCGCGCCTAATTAAACCCGATCACACCTCAATTTGTCCGTCGATACCCGACGTCCTAAATAGGGTTTAGGGCGCGACTTACCAAACTCTAGACTAACTCGGCTAGAGTGGGAAACGGGCGGCGATCGGCGGGGACGGCGGCGAGCGACGGCACGGCTCGGCGGCGTGGACGGCGAGCGGTGGCGACGGCGGCTTGGGCCGGCTCCTCACGGCCACGGAAGAGGGGAGACAGAGGGCCGAGAGGGTGAGAGGGGGACGGCGGTGGTACGGCGGTGGCGCGGTGGCAGCATGGCGGACGGGCGGTGGCCGTGCGGCGGCGAGCGACCAAGTGGGGGTGATCGGCGGTGGGAAGAGGGAGAGAGGGATGGAGCCGAGAGAGATGGAGAGAGAGTGAGGAGAGAGAGAGAGGTCTTAGTCTTAAATGGTCAAAATTTGACCAATTCCGGCAAATTACCATCTTTTTAATCAACGGCCGAGATTCGATCTTATCTTGGAATCGACGGCCCGGATCGAATCTTTTCCAAAATATCCAAGGGCAATTTGGGAATTTCTCAAAAAGTCCAAGGGCAAAATTGCCCAACTCAAAAATTAGGGCAAAATGACCAAAGTGCCCTTCCCTCTTAAAACTTGCCCTTAACAAATTCCTAGGGGTAAAACGGTCACTTTCCTCATTTCTCGCCAAAATTGATTTTTTTTTAAGGATTCGGGAAAATCTAAAGCTACACGTTCCAACTACAACGTCGTCCTAACGTCCCGTCGTGACTTCCTAATTTTCCGATGTCCAATTTGGGCTCAAATAAATAATTAAATTTTATTAAACGTAACTCGAGCGTTTCTCAAACTAACGGGCGGCTTTTTGGGGAAATTCGCATATTCAACCCGTGACTGATAATAAATCGAGTCACGTGCAAGTTCATTTGGTTCATGACGACTTCGGTTGTCATTTAAATCGCAAGGATCGACCGCTAGATCCGAGGGGCACGATCGTTTGGTATAGGTTCAGGATCATTCGTCAATTCATTTCGTGGTCCAGCGGAATCACCCACGATCCACTACTATGATAGTGGCGAACTGACCCCTGGCTATCCTTGGATCGGCCTACAGTGGCTCAAAATGTCACCTCAACGATTTTATGGTCGAAAATCAATTCACGATCGAATTTTCTTTAGTTGCACGAATTTAAATCCCTAATTAGCCTTTCCCTAATGGTTAGTATCCCATGAATAATCAGTTCCGGGCGAGAACTGACCACGAGTACATTCATAAAACCAAGCATTTCATAAATCCCAAATAGGCAAATTTTAGGATGTCACAAGAAGTTCTGGGCTGAGGCAGCTAGTACTGCAGTGTTCTTATTGAACAGATTGCCCACAAAGGCCTTAGAGAGGTCAACACCTTTTGAAGCCTGGTATGGTGTTAAACCATATGTAAAGAATTTAAAAGTTTTTGGGTGTTTGTGTTATACGCATGTTCCTCAGGTCAAGAGGGACAAGCTGGATCAAAGAGCTGAGCCTGGAGTCTTCATTGGATACAGTCTCCAATCAAAGGCTTATAGGATTTTTCAGCCTATGACAGGGAAGGTGACTGTGAGTAGAGATGTTGTTTTTCTAGAGGAAGATGAGTGGAATTGGATGGAAGAAAAGAATGCAGAATAGAAGAAATCTGCAGAACAACAACCTGCAACAACTATACAGGTTGATGAAGTTGTGAATGGATTTGAAGATACTATGGATGATATGCCAGTAAGAGGCACAAGGTCACTTGCTGAAGTTTATGAAAGAAGCAATGTGGCAGTACTTGAACCAGCTAACTTTGTGGAAGCTAAGGAGGATCAGAAGTGGATTGCAGCAATGCAGGAGGAGTTGACAATGATTCAGAAAAACCACACATGGGAGCTTGTTGACAGACCACCTGACAAGAATGTGATTGGGGTTAAGTGGGTGTTCAGAACAAAACTTAATCCTGATGGTTCTGTCAATAAACACAAAGCTAGACTAGTTGTGAAAGGCTATGCTCAGATATGGGGAGTAGATTATTCTGAAACTTTTGCGCCTATTGCAAGACTTGATACAATCAGGCTACTATTAGCTGTTGCAGCAAAGAAGGGGTGGCCTATATTTTAGCTAGATGTCAAGTTTGCATTTCTGAATGGAGAGCTCGAGGAGGAGATTTTTGTTGAACAACCTGAAGGCTTCAGTACCAAAGGGCAAGAAGAGAAGGTATACAGATTGAGGAAAGCTTTATATGGACTGAAGCAGGCTCCAAGAGCTTGGTATGGAAAGATAGACAGATATTTATAGGATTGTGGCTTTGTAAGAAGCTTGAGTGAGTTCACTCTTTATGTCAATAAGGTGAATCACAACGTTGTAATTCTGTCACTCTATGTAGATGATTTGTTGGTGACAGGGAATGATGTGGAACTGATAGAGAGGGTGAAGCAAGGTCTGTTTGTAGCTTTTGAGATGTCAGACTTGGAAAAGATGGCTTATTTCCTAGGTCTGGAAATCAAACAAACTTCACATGAGATTTTCATCTGCCAAAAGAAATACATGAAGGAAATTTTGAAGAAGTTTCAGATGGAAGATTGTAGAAGTGTCAGCACTTCTATGACTGCTAAGGAGAAGCTGTGAAAGAATGATGGAACAGAAGCGGTAGATGCTTCAATGTATAGAAGCTTAATTGGATGTCTCATGTATCTCACAGCAACTAGACCAGATATTTTATTTGCTGTGAGTGTTTTATCCAGGTTCATGAGTAGTCCTAGTCAGTTACATTTGGTCGCTGCAAAAAGGGTCTTGAGATACATCAAAGGAACATTGTTCTTTGGTGTGAAGTTTAGGAAAGGCCAGAAGTTTAAGTTGCAGGGTTTTTCTGATAGTGACTAGGCTGGCTCAGTAGATGACATGAAGAGTACATCTGGGTACTGCTTCACTCTTGGTTCTGCTTGTTTCTCCTGGTGTTCCAAAAAGCAGGAGATTGTAGCTCAGTCCACTACAGAGGCTGAGTTTATAGCAGCCACTGCAGCTGCAAATCAAGTTATGTGGCTGAAGAAGATAATGAAGGATCTGTGGTTGAGTTATGGTGATTGCATTAAAGTTTATGTGGACAATCAGGCTGCTTTAGCAATATCACAGAATCCAGTTTTCCATGGCAAAACCAAGCATTTTAAGATCAAATTCTTCTTTCTGCGTGAAGTGCAACAAAGTGGTGAAGTTAAGTTGGTTTATTGTAGATCAGAAGATCAGCTTGCAGACATGTTCACAAAGCCACTTCAGGTTGAAAGATTTGAGCTGTTAAGGGAGAAAATTGGAGTTTGCAGCAGCAACTGATCCAAGGAGGAGTTTGTTGGAGCTGTGTCTCAGTGCTGCTATTGTTTTTCTTGTCGTTTTAGTCTTTTCTGTTTTGCAGTCAAGTTTGATTTGTTAGGCAGTTAGTTTATTAGCTATTTTCTAGGAAATGGAACAAGTTAGTTTTTTGCACGTTTGTGTGCAGTTCAAAACAGGTTCCTATTAAGCTTGTTCTTGACAGTTTTTGTCAATGTTAATATTTCAGTCTTCTATTCCATCTCTCTCTGCGAAATCTGAAAATTGTGATAGCTGATTTTTCATCAGCATTAACAATATCTGAGTATATTTGGTTATTGAGCTACTATTGCTAATGCTAAGGCATTCAATCTCTCCTATTTTCTCTATGCATTGGCTTTTGACTTCATATCCAAACATGCCAATGAGCTTGAGTTGATTTCTAGAGTATGATATCCTAACAATACAAGGTTAAGGTGTTGAGAAATACACATGTTCTGTTTCGAGATAAACTGATGCAGATACCTTGGAAAAATTTAGGTACTCAAACACCTTGGAGAAATTGACGAAATTCAGGGAGACAAGAGACCCCTTGACTGAGTTCTTCGAGATCTTTCAGATTATCCACAAGCAACAAAAGTCCATGCTCGAGAACTTGCAGATCAAGAAGAAGGAGATTGACGAGAAGCTCAAGAGCATACGCACTTGGGCGATTGTCTCAAACATTATACTGGTTGCGACTTTCCAAGCCCTTCTGATCTATACGGTCATGACTGCTGCAGTGGTTGCTCCACCATTCACTGCCGCTTCAGTGGCTGCAGTTGCCTTCCCCATGGATTCGGTGGGCAAGTGGATCGATTCCCTTTGGAAGAATTATGAAGATATATTAGAGGGAGAGAAGGAGGTGATCACCTCAATGCAAGTGAGTACTACAAACCTTTTTTCTCCCTTATTACAGTGACCATTTCCACCATTTCGTCACACCAAGTTAACATCCCCGTTAAGTTCAAAACAATAGTTTCCCCTAGAAGTTCTCACGTCTAACATAATGAACATTTTGAGGCTGGGGTTGATTTTTATGTAGCTGTAAGGATGGGAACAATGTCTTGGAGTCCAAAATGCAATGAACTCTGCAATAGAAGTCACCATGATTTACATGAATAAATTCTTACGACTAAAAGCTCTACAGGCTGGTACCTTTGTTACTCTCCAGGTCCTGGACACAATCAGAGTTCTTATTGACCGTTTGGAGGTACAGATCAAGAGCCTCTTGCACATAGCTGATTTTGCGATTGAGGGGGGACCAGAGGCAGTGAAGCTTGGAATAGAAGACATCAGGAAGAAGCTGAGAGATTTCGTGAAGGATGTCGAAGAACTTGAAAAGCAAGCCGACATGTGCTTCAGAGGATTATGAAGCCCCCCACCAATTGAAATGGTGCCCCTATAGTGCCGTAGAGAACTGTTGCTAAGGGTTTGTTTGATTGTGATGGATGTTATGTGAACCTCAATTGCATTGCCTTCTTAGTTCAATAAAGTGGAAGACATCAACATTTGGCATTTGATTTGTTAATTATCAAAAATTAGTGCAGCTTTTTGACATAAAGGCCTTTATCATCTTCCTGCTTTGGATAGGAATTCTTCGATCCCGAGTTGATGCCAAGGGAAGGTATGATCTTATTACATTTGCTTTGCTACGAGATGCTCGAGAAAGATTCATCAAAGCTGGACATAAAATGAGGTTGGCATATGCATGTAATTGATATGGGTGAGTACTGGAACCAGATCGACCCGAGAACCGAAGCAGCCGGTTCCGGGCAATTTTCGAGGGAACCAGTCTGGTTCTAGGTTCCTAATTTCTTCGTCCAATTATCGGCTCCTAAAATTTAGAATCAATGAAAACCCGTCCAGTTTTAGGTGTGGATCCACCCACTTGGACCACCCGGACCGAACCGATTATTGTATTTTTCTTTTTTAAAATTCTTATTATTAAAACACATTTCTTAAAAGAACTAATGCAGCTTTCATTTTCTTTCTTTTTGTTTTTGTGGAGCAGTAATTTCACCCTTTTGAGGAACAAATTATTTGAAATTCAGTTAATATCACGAAAAACACTAAACTAGTACACCTATGAGAATTTTACCCTAAACTATTTTTTTGACCACCAAAAACCCAAAACTGGTATATATGTGACAAATTTATCCCAAACTAATATTTTGACCACTAAAAACCCTAAACAGGTACATTTGTGACAAATTTATCCTCCGTTAGTTTCCGTTAAATTGAATTAATACCACAAAAAATCACAAACTGGTACACCTATGACAAATGGAGGGTAAAACATAAAACCGGTACATCAGTTAACTGTCGCGTGTCATTTGACAAAGCAATTTTACAGTAAAATTTAACGGAAACAAACTGAAGGTAAATTCGTCACAAGTGTACCAGTGTGAGGTTTTTAGTGGTCAAAAAATTCCTTTAGGGTAAAATTATCATAGGTGTACCAGTTTTGGGTTTTTTGTGGTATTAACCCTTTGAAATTTGGCTAATTCGAAGTGGAACTCTGTAGCCTTCCTGTTTTTTGCTTGCTCATCCAAAGTGTACGAGAACGTGATGGAGATCGCGCTAATTGGCGAAGATGGAGTTGACAGACTACGATGGTAATGTTAGCACCAACAGACGGGAGTAGTGACCGATGGGAAATCTCATTGTTTCCGAACCATCACTTTCACAATAAAAGGCTTTAAAATTCTGCAAAAGGGTTTAACAATGGGAAGGTCAGGCCTCTAATCAAAGCCTCTTTTTTGTCAGAACGGCTTTGATCAAAGCTTCGTATAGTAGCAAACTGCATGTATGGTTACGATCACGAAAGTGCATTGAGAAGAATTTTCGAGACTTGCATTAATCAAAATTCATAAGTACAATGTTGCTTTAGGTTCCCATCAATTAATTTCTTTTCTTATCATATTTTCCCTTTTCTTCTTTATTCTCCTATGGATCCTATTGTCCTTAAAACGGTTCAATTCTTTTCATACTTGTTTTTGCTGGAAAAAAAAGGGGAGTTATACCGCCAGTTCCTAGACTCACTCGAGAACCAAACTAGTCTGATTTGATTTCGAGATCAAGCGGGCTGGTTTCCGGTTCTAGGGTGAGAACCAGCCTACCCTGGAACCAATTTCCCCTAATAATTGATATGTACTATGGGGTCTTTCTATGATTATATTTTTATTTATACCCTAACTCTAATTAATTAATATTATTTATATATATCAAACAACCATAATTAAGGTCAAACCACCATAAACACTCAGTCTCTACTCTCTTTGTGACTTTAAATATCGACAGAGTATCGGAACCGGAAAAAGCATCAAATTCCTCAACATCTCTTCCCCAAATCCACAGTTTTTTTGCTCCTTTTTGTATTTCCGATTCATCCCCAGTTTTTCTTCTTCTCTATTATCTCTTTATCCATCATTTTCTATTTCCATTAATCCCAATTTCTCATTACCTCTACCCCCAACATTCCCAATAGCACGCTCCATCAATCTTGATGTAAACAATTATCTTTTGTGAAAAGCTTTGTTTGAAGCTATTCTATTCTGTAATGATCTACTAGACCATATGGATGGGTCTTTTGCATATCAATCAAAGCTTGTTCTTAATGACAATGGGACTATGGTGGTCGATCCCTCCTATTTCACTTGGGTTAAGAAAGATAAGTGCCTCTGTAGTTTAATCAATTCGACCTTCAAAGTTGAGAATTTTCATGAAGTTCTCAACCTTCGGATATTTCGGGAGGTTTGGGTCGCTCTTAGAAGACGCTTTATCGATCACTGCACTGCCAAGTTAATTGGACTGGAACTTGATTTTAGAATGCCATCAAGAAACCCAATCAGTCCATGTCCGACTATCTTTGAAATTTAAAGCCAATTGCAAACTCTGACACTACAAACAATTGCTCCGTCTTCGACAAGGACTTAAAAGATTCAAGCCCTCAATGGGATCCCCATCTGAGTACGATCCCTTTGTCACACCAAAGTCACCAATAGCCCTACAATTCCTTTGGTGATCTGCCTTCACAACTCCTTATCCAAGAAGAACGATTTCTTCGAAAATCTAATTCCTCATCTTCATTCGATATTCATCATGCTTTGATTAACCATGCCACTACACCCATTCCCCCGTTCCAAGGGTCAGGGGTGGACGTAATTCTAGGGGCAGAAAATCTAGTCAGTGACATGGTAGAAGGTTCTCCACTAATGAATCGGGTTTGCAATCCGCCTATAATTGGTTCAACTCACAGTATCATCAACCCTGAATTTTAATCGCTCCTCTGCCTCTTCTGGTCGGCCCCATTGTGGTCTAAGGCCCTATGTTCCTCCATACACCTAGGGATGCATTCTCAAATCTTGGCCTAATCTTATTTGTCAAAACTATAACGAAAATAGGCACACCGCGCTATAATGTCAACAACTGTTCAACCATGCCTTCACCACCAATGATCTCTCGGAATCCTTCTCAACTCTCTCGATTGGTGAGACTTTTGATCCCATGTGGTATCTTTATAGTGGAGCATGGGCACACATAACTAATGATACACTCCTAAAACCTATAAAGCAAGTTGGTTGGTGATGCTCATTTATTTCCTATAAAGCAAGTTGGTAAAGCTTTTTGACATACTAGTTCTCGATCTTTATTGTTATCTCAAATCTATCATATCCCCAATCTGGCTCACAATATTCTCTTTGTTAATCAACTTTTCCATATAGATTCCCGCACTTTTGATTTTGATGGTTCAACCATTTATTTGAAGGACCAACAAACAGGGAAATTTCTCCTCCAAACTAACTCCTCTCATGGTTTTTATCCGATCTCCAACTCATTGGTATCATCTCACTTGCATCCTATTGTGACGTCCTCCGCCTCCCTCACTCGCTAGCATGCTTGTCTTAGTCATTCTAATAAACAATTTTACTCGTGTTTGCAATTCAAGTTTTAAGACAGTATTTTGAGATTCTTGTTTAGTGGGAAAATCTCATCAATTAACTTTTGAGTCTGTTAGTCATCTTGCATCTTTTCCTTTGGTTGTAATTTATTCTTATGTCTAGACGAGTCCATTTTATCTAAATTTATTGATGACTACTTTCGTTTCACTATGGTCTTTCCCATGAAAAATAAATACAAGATGCCTACACACTTTCATTATGTTGTGTTATAAAAAATCTATGCAATACCAAAACTAAATTTGATAGACCAATGGCATGAGTGAATACACTAGTAATTCATTTTAAACATACTTACATGACAATGGTTTTGTTCAACGTCTTTCTTGTCCACACACCCTATCTCAACATGGCTTGTCCAAACGCAAAATCAAACAATAAGTCAAAATGTCTAATCCATTCTCATATTCCTCCGATATATTGGGCTTATGCTCTTCTCATTATTGTTTACACGATTAATCGCCTTCCCACTTATCCCTTTAATGCTTCTCCTTTCCATTGTTCTATTTTGATTGCCATTTGATTACTCATTCTTTTGTGTTTTTTAATGTTCTTGTTGTCCATTTCTTCCGTCTCATGTCTTCCATAAGTTGGCACCTCATTCCATGCCATGTATATTTTTTGGGTACACATAGAATCGCAAAGGCTATTGTTGTCATGATTGGTCGAGTGATCGTATTATTATCAATTGTCACGTTTGATATGATGAGAATTTTCTCTTTTCATAGAATCCTTCACCCCTTTTAGTCTCGTAACTCACTATTCTATAGTAGCCCCTTCTCTTTTTCTTTCCTCAAATCAGCCGATTCTACCTTCTCCCTCCTCCGGCCCTTTCTCCTCCGATCGGCTCAAACTCCTCATTCGCCTCTCACCTCTTCGCTAGCCCAACCTCCTACCCGCCTCTCTCCACCTCTCAGCCCATCCAACCTACTTCAATGTATTTTTTCCCTACACCGCTTCTCCCTTCGACCAAACTTATTGTGCCCGAACCCCGACTCCTCTCCTGACCCGATTCCTTCCACAACATACCTGAAAGTCCTCTCTAACTTTCTATCTAGAACATTCTTCTCTTAACATCATCCTTTGCAAACTCATGCCAAATCTGGAATTTCTAAATCATATTTATTCTTTATCTCTCTCACTCTTTTCGCGAAGAGACATCGAGTTGCTATTCTTAGGCCATTCTTGAACAACATTGGAAAGTAGTTATCACAGATGTATTTTAACACCTGGTCACCAACCATATGTGGGATCTTGTACCACTTCAAAGCTCATCATGTTTCATGGGCATTTAAGCAGTTGGCGGGACTGGACTATAACAAGACCTTTGACCCGGTCGTTAAACCTACTACAATTCGGGTTGTTCTCTTTATTATGATTTCATTAGGATGGTCCATACATCAATTTGACATCAAAATTGCCTTTTTGCCACACTCAATCCCTCATGAGGAA